AAGATGGTGAGATTGCGGGAGATCTGGATGATTGATGAGAGGATGAGGGATAGATAGGAGAGGAGGGATGATGGGACGAGTCCAGGACGAGAGACCGTACGGACAGAGAGAGTGATGAGCAGAGAGGAGACACGATGGTTGTGGTGCGGATCCGGATGATTAGGAGAAGGAGTCGTGGTGAGCCGTTTGGAGAGAGTACAGAGAGGATGAAGAAGTGAGGAGATGAGATTGAGATGGAAGAGATTGGACTTAGAGACGAGACGAGGAGATCATTTGAGAGTGACTTTGAGAGAGTGATAGAGGAGGGAGAGAGAGACTCGTTGAGAGAGAGCTGAGGATGATTACAGTGTGTTTTGAGAAGATTAGAGATTGGGGGAAGTGACGGAGAGGTGGATATGTAGGAGCTTGAGGAGAGTAACAGTGATTTCTCTCGAAAGTGGAGAGGTTAGATTGAGTTCCGGATCTCGGGAGTTGGAATACCCATTTGGAGTATCGTCTGAGAGTGCGTCCGCTTGAAGAGTGGAGATGATGAGTGTGAGAGTTAGGAGAGGATGATTGGTGATCTTATTTAGACACAAGATTGTGGAGCCGATGTGATGCATGGGGTGGTTCGGAGAAAGAGAATGATGATGAGAGAGCGCCAGACGAATTTGAGAGATTGTTGGAGATTAGTAAAAGAGACTGAGTGAGATCGTCGGAAGGTTAGAGACTGAATGAGAATCCGAGATTTTTGACAAGGAGAATTTTTGTGGAGAGCGAAGGAGTGATAGCGTGTGGACATGAGATGGGAGGAAGGCATCGAGGATGGATGAGTTGTAATGAGATGATAGAGCGGAGAGAGGGTAGCGAGAGGACGACGACAGGGAGCATTAGTATGAGAGTTTAGTAGAATGAGGAGCCTAGTGAGAGCGTGAGAGCAAGACGCCGCGGGAGGAGATGAGAGGCTTTCGGAGTGACCCGGACGATGATATTAGATTGAGATTGCGAGTCAAGGAAGTTGTTGATGGTGTGGTTGAGATACAGTGAGAGCGTATGGGGGAGTGAGATGGATTATGAGAGTGGTGCGAGTGAGACGGAGAGGATAGGAGCTCGCCTTGAGGATGTATTTGAGACTGATTAAGAGCGGCGGAGACGCGAGGCGCAGGAGGGTGTTTAAAGAGTGGACCTGGAGTCTGAATGGAGTTGAGTGAGAGAGAAATGGGACGATGAGGACGACTCGCGAAGGAGAGGGAGATTGTGAGGATCTACTGAAGAGAGATGCGGAGGATTTGTGATGATGTAGGATGAGGGCGTGGAGCAGCAGAGGTAGAGAGATGATGAAAGAGACAAGAAGATGATGGGTTAGAGTGGAGATGAATCACAGGGATGACGAGAAGAGTAGGGGATATGCGATTTCGCGAGGGTGAGCGAGACTGCGATAGGAGAAGGAGGAGTGAGGGAGACGATCGGAGTGAGGAAGGAGCACGGACGAGGAGAGATGGAAGATTGAGACGTAGATCGAGATTGATCCGACGACTTTGCCATGACATGATAGGAGGAAAGAGAATTATTTGACCCGGAGATGAGAGATGAAGAGAGAGGAAGGGTGTGACGATGACGTGATGAGGAAGTCTAGTTGAGAGGAGACAGAAGAGAGCGGAGGTGTCGAGAGGAGAGGATTTCCCTCGTCGAAGATGAGAACCTTCAGAGGAGGTTTGAGCAGGAGAGAGATTATGAGAGGACGTAGGAGATGATTAGGATCTGAGAGGGGTACCGAGACAGAGAGAGGATGGGGAGAGCGTTGATGGGAGACCTCGAGGATGAAGAGAGGTGCGTACGGAGTGATGAGGGCAGCGAGAGGAGGATCCGTAGAATCATTTGAAGGCGTTGAAGTCGATGAAGAAGCATCTTGATGAGCGTCGATGGGCCGAAGGAGATTGTGAGAACTGGAGAGAGGGGACGAAATGCATTGTGTATGGCGTGATTGGAGAGAGGGGAGGAGGACCCACCCCTGACGACTTGAGGCTGAGGAACTGAGACGGGGACGGAATGAGTAGACGGGGAGTCAAGGACGTGAGTGGTGGAGTGAAGCTTGGAGACGGGAGTGAGGCGAGTCGATTTGTAGGGATGTATTAGGACGAGGATGAGAGAAGAATGGGAGTACGAGAAAGGAATGAGATCTTGGGATTTGGATGTAGTTGAGACGGGAGAAGGTCAGAAGAGAAAGGGGCAGAAGAGGAGGAGCGAGTAGAACGGAGAGAATGTATGGGATGTGAAGTGTTGGGTGAGGAGAGTGGTTGCTGTTGAGTATGAGATAGAGATGAGGACGTCATGAGAGAGGTCGGGGAGGAGAGGGTGATGTATGAGAGTTTTTGAGAAGAGAGAGGTACGAGCGGGAGGAGCGAGCGAGCGATTCGGTGTTTGTTGCGTTAGAGAGCTGCTGGAGTGGGAGAGGAGTGTAGATATGACGAGGTGAGACTAGTGGAGAAGTGAGACGGAAGAATAGCGAGAGGGAGGAAATGAAGTGGGAAGAGAAGATACCGGAGAAGCCGTGAAGAGCCGATAGGCTCTGGATATGAGTAGTTGGTGGTCAGAGAGAAGAACGATAGGGAGGAGAAACGAGAACGAGAGTTGAGTTGAGAGGAGAGTGGTGATGGCCAGACGAAATAACGGAGAGGGAGAATTACGAGAAAAGGGATGGAGAGCTAGAGAGAGTGGGACCTTTGAACGTAGATAGGTATGATGAAGCGAGAGAGACTATTGAAGGAGAGTACTGTGGAGTGAGACGGTGATTTACCAGAGAGCGAAGAGTATGTGAGAGGAGCGGTGTGAGGGACGTGGAATTCGATCCCCCCCCCCCCACCCCAGGGGGGGTGGTTTTCCTTCAGGGAGACGTTGTGATATCCGGTGAGTAGCGGAGGAGACCGAATATGGTTAAGATAACGACTGAAGTTGGAGAGGAGAGAAGGAGTAATCGATATGACGAGAGATGGACGATGGGGGGGAAGTTAAGTCATGAGATGCGTGAGCGTGGGAGTGGGTGAGGGGACGGAAGAATGATTTGTTTTAGGAGAATCGGTGTTGATGGTGTAGGATTCTCCTTTCATGATGTGAGTGACTCGGATCCGAGGGTTCCTATGAGAGTTTGAGAGCGACTTAATTCGTCATAGATTATGCATCCGTGAGAGAGAGTTTCTTGGGGAGAGGAGTAGTGTTGAGTGAGTTGGAGGATTGAGGAGGATATGAGGATTTGAGGAGACGTGATGAGGAGCGTGACGATTGAGGAAGATGATAGCAGATAGAGACTATTCGAGGAGGAGTCCTGGATGTCGACTGAGAGAAAGTAATATGAGAGGTGATAATGAGCGAGGAAGAATGAGAAGAGATGAGATTTCAGAAGGGAGAGTACTGGAGAGATGTCATTGGGTGAGGATAAGGAGTTCGAGGGGTAGGGAGAAGGACCGACCGAAGTTGACAGTGTTATCGGAGTTTCACTTGCGAGTGTTGAAGGAGGGGCTCGTGGAGAGGATGTTATAGGAGACGGAGATGAGAGTTGAGAGAGAGAAGAGGTGATGTATGATTGTGTCGAGGGAAGTGATCGGTAAGAGAGGAGGTAGTGAGAGAGGTACGAGACGAGAGGGCGAGTTTCGAGGAGGTATCGGAACTAGAGAGAATGACCGGAGAGAATGGGATGAGAAGAGGAAGGAGGAGACGGGCGCGAGAGGAGATTGGGAGGTGATGACGGAGAGAGAGGAGAGGACTGAGATGGAATGATTGGGAGGAGGAGAAAGAGTGACGGCGATGGTAGGATCGATTGAAGAGATGATATGGAGTGAGGATAGAGATCGGAGAGTGAGTTGTGAGAGGAGACGTATGGGAGCGCTCGGACTAGACGGTAGTGGAGAATGGAGAAGAGATTATTGATGGAAGAGATTCTTGGAGAGGATTACTTGAGGGAGTAGGGAGTGGATGATAGACGGAGCTGGACGAGGTGAGAAGCGTAGATTGCGTCCGAAGATGCTTATGGGAGACTGACCTGAGTTCTGAGATGAGTGCTGGGTGACGAAGAGATTAGGAGAGGGAGATGAGAGGGCGACGCGGGAGATAACGACAATGCGACGTTAGTTGAGAGAGTTGGGTGAGAAGGAGGAGAGGAGATAATTCGTTCGATTTGGAAGGAGCGTGAATGACGAGTCAGAGATAGATGAGCTGAGAGAAGGGTGAGTGAGATGAGAAGGGATTTCTAGGCCCTCCAAGGAGAGTGAGAGAGAAGAGCTGATGAGAGAGAGGAGGGAGACTCGGAATGGAGGATGAGTCACGAGAGTGGGAGTGGGGAGATGCTGATGGATGGATAGAGAGGACTCGAGCGACAGTGATACTGATCTAGTCTCTGAAACGTGCCGTGAGGGAGAGGAGATGTGAGGGAGAGATGGAAGTGACGGAGTGAGTAGTGAGAGTTGGGAGTTACGAGAGAGAAGAGGGATGAGGAGAGAAGTGAGGGTGGAGATTGGCAGGGGATGAGGAGAGATTTGACGACCGAGGTAGATTCGATTTTGATGTTAAAGATGGAGGGAGAGAGAGACTTGGTATTATGAGTGATAGAGATCGACAGAGATAACGATGATCTTTCCTCGACCGGAGGAGAGAGTTCATAGGGGTAGGACGGGTGCGAGGGTCGCGAGAGAGTAGGAGTAGTGAGAGGAGGAAAAGAGGGGAGAGTGAGAATGGGATGAGAAATGGATGATGACGAGGGCCTCCGAGCTGAGAGGTGAAGAAGGATTTGTGTTGGGGGAGATGACGGATGGTAGATGACCGGATAGATGGACGATTTGAGAGAGACGGATGAGAACGGTGATATCGAGGAGAGCATCGGAATGACTAGAGGAGAGGTATTCAGAGTAGGAGAGTCAGTGAGGGGGGAGGAAGCGAAGAAGGGGGGGGGCTGCAGATAGGAGTGCGACATGTTGAGAGAGAGATGAGAGTGACGGGGGAACTGTAGGGACGAGAGAAAGATAGAGCCTGGGAGGATGTTTATGACTGCGAGAGAATCGAGACGGAGAATGATCGGCGACGTATGAGTGGGTCGGTGTCTCGCCGATGCTCATGATTGGAGACCGATCGAGGGAGATAAGTGATTTAGACAAATGGAGATGAGATAGATGACTTCTTAGGAGAGTGTCGATAGACAGACGAGTAGGAGAGCGGAGAGATGAGAGAGGTAATTAATGAGCTTCTGAGAATCGAGGATACCTTCGATGAAGAGACTGCGGGGGGAGCGTGAGGATTGAGAGAGTGTTACTTCTGAGGACGCGAATTAGGGATTATCTGTGGATGCGATACGGTGAGAAAGGTGGGTGGACGGTAATGAGACAGAAATAAGAGTTCGGAATCGTTAGCTGATGACGAAAGTGAGTGAGATTGCGAGAGTAGCGTGTGAGAGAGAGTTCGAGCAGATCGAGGAGTAGAGACGTTAGGACGTTGGATGAGATGGACCTAGTATGAGAGAGGGAAGCGAGATAGAGTACTGTTGAGATGAGAGTATTTATGGGAGATACGAGATCGCGAGAGAGGAGTTGATGAATCTTGGCTGATTGTCTAAGACTGAGCAAGTGAGAGGAGAAGAGAATTTTGTGAAGACCTCGTCTTCACTTCTTTCTGAGTGTTTGTGGGGAGATGAACTGACAAGAGAGGAGAGGGCGATGGGGCGGGTGAGCGTTGACGAGAAGGTGTTGAGAGCGAGATGCGAGGAAGAATTGGTATGACTCGAGCTGTAGAGGTGATAGCGAGCGGAGACAAGGACTAGGCACTGACGTCGACCGCAGATGAGTTGGATATGATTAGATTCTTTAAAGATTAGGATGAGAGATGATGAGTGGATGATTGAGTTTGGAGTGGGATGATATCTTGACGAGACTGAGGAGAGGGGATATAAGATGACTGATCGCGGTTTTTGATGGAGACCGGGACCCGGGATTGAAGTGTTCGACGTCTTCAGAGTGACTCTATCCAGATGTAGAGAGAGCCGATGGTGACGACTCGGATGAGTGGATGATCTGATGCTAGAATGAAGGGCGTTTTACTAGAGTACGTGGTAGTAACAAACTTGAAAGTCTAAGTCCGTTAGGGAGATTCGGGTTTGGATGAAGATGAGTAGACTTAGAGAGTGAGAGGTTGGTGTGACGAGAGTACTCAGAGGGTGTGCGGAGGTGGTTGATAGGAGATGAGACGGGAGATGTGAGAGACGAGTTACGTCAGATGCCCGAAGAGCGACGAGCGATTGTTGTACTGGTGCGGACTAGTTAGGAAGTGTTGAGAGAGGAGGGAGAGTTACGATTGAAGACAGATGGAGAGAGGCTCCGGAGTCGAGATAGGAGAGACTGAGAGAGGGAATAGAGGGGAGAGTGTGAGAGATGCGGTGAGAGCGGAATTGGAGATGACGCTGGATAGAGGAGACCCGGCGGAGGATTGAGTGGAGCTGATTGAGTTGGACAAGTTATACGAGGATGGAGTAGACCATGGAGAGTATTAGGATCGATCGAGTTAACGAAGGGATGAGAGTCGAGAGCATTCTTGAGAGCCCCGGCGATTGGGACGTCGGAGGAAATTTGGGAGGATTCTATTTTTTGAGTAGATTTTGCGGGGCCGAGAGGACTGTTTTGAGAGGTGAGCATGAGGAGACGCTCGGAGTGATAGAGAGCGCGTATAGATGGGCCTTAGTAGACGGGAGAGCAAGAGAGACCGGACGGATGGTGAGAGATGAACATTCGAGAGGCAATCCCCAGAACGAGAGAGGAAGATCTGAGAAGGACGAAGAACGTGGACCGGTCACAAGAGAGTTCGTCGGAGATTATGGCTCGAGTATGAGTAGAGGATCAGATGCTGAGAGAAATTGGGTCCGAGGGAAAGGATACGCTAACATAGCGACGAGATTGAGATCTGAAGTGACGGAGGAGCTTTAACGGATGAAGAGTAGATATGAATATCGATGTGAAGGAGATGGTGTTAGAGATTGAAAGATGCTGGGGATTGATTAGGATGATGAGTCTGGGTACTTGGGGCCTATTGTATCTTGTTTTGATGGGAGGTGTGATCCCGAGCCTGAGTGTACTTGTTCCATGCGGGATACCTATCGAATGCATGACTACCGATTCGTGACTTGTGAGCGACTTAAGAGGAGATGAGGAGTGAGCTAGGGGCGGAAGAGGAAGAAGGGGAAGAAGCAAAGAGTGACGGTGACAGGTGAGGGATATTGAGGAGGTAGGTGGGGAGTACGAGGTTGGCCGGCAGACAGGTTAGTAGGGAGGAATTAGAGACTTCCTTTAGAGACCATTGGGAAGTCTTGCGAGGATAAGGAGCTGGACTCTTTGAGAGGAGGAGCATACGGAGAGTCATCGAGTGGAAAATGGAGGAGAGATGAAGAGAAGCAATAGAGAAGGGGTGGATGTCGTTCCGAGAGGAGTTATTCGAGAGCTTGAGAGAAGAGATGGATGCAGAGAGGGAGAGAGAGAGTAAATGCGGGGACGGCCGCGAGGGAGTGAGGAGTGAAGCGATAGTAAGACCGATTGATGGAGAAGAGAAGACTTTGATTGAGATGGTGAGAGTACCGTTTGGGGGAAGAGTGTAGGAGTGCTTTAGTATGGGCTGGAGTGTGACGTCGATGCGGAGGATGATTTTTGAGACCAGTGAGTTGAAGAGAGAGAGAGAGGAGGATAGAGATGAGAGGATCGTAGGACGGAGGAGTGGAGTGCGGAGAGGAGTTGGATCTAGATGAGAACCGGGACGAGAGATTTCGAGAAGAGAGAGCAATGAGCCCTTCTGGATTGTTTCAAGAAGGAGAATCGAGTTTGCACTAGGGCGAACGAATACCCGTCGTCAAGACGTTGAGAAGTTCTCGGAGTGAGGAGGGAAGAGAGTGAGGATGGGGAGAGAGGAGCAGAGACCCGAACCGAGACCGGATTTGGGAGAAGAGAAGGGAGAGGAGAGAAGGTCGGGTCTCTATCACTAGATGTCAGATGCGTGGCATCCTGAGAGATGAATTCGGACGTGTTCATGAGGGAGAAGGGAGATGAAGATGAGAGTTAGAATCACTTTGCGGCGAATAGGAGGGAGAGAACCAGAAGCGAATAATTGCGGTGATGGAGAAATGACGGGAAATGGGAGGATTGATTGCCTGATGAAGATGAGGTCGGAGAAGAGAGATGAGATTGTTGGATAAGATTTAGGAACGGATATGATCTAGAGTTGGAAGGAGAGTTAATGGGCTTAGGCATTATGATATTGAGATCTTCTTGGGGATTCGAGTGACTTTGTTGCTGTAAATGTGTTGTAATAAGTCCGTGCAGTATTGGACCACGACGTGATAGATGTGAGATCCTGAGTTTGGGATTGAGGCGAGAGAGAGTAGAGGCAGATACGTGAATGAATGAACGATCCTGAGTGAAGTAGACGTACGTATGGACTTGGCCCCGATGTTTAGAATAAGACGCGGGGAGGAGAGATAGAGCTTAGGATATTGTGATGAATATTTGGATATGTTAATCTCGTCTTCATCGATTGACTCCTCCCTCGCTATCATTCATTAGTCAGAGATTGTGTTCGAGTAGACGAGTGCATGCTGGGCAAAGAGATTTAGAAAAGGGAAGATCGTAGTGCTTTTGAGTGGGAGCTGGTGGGAGATGAAAGAACGAAGAATTCGGGAGGGATCGAACGTTAGAGATTTACAGGATGTGAGACTGTAGCGAGGAGAGAGTCGGAAATCGTCTGAGAGAGCCGGGAACGAGGTCGATTAGTAGGGAGAGAGTCGATAAGGAGGTCAGACTGAGATCGCAGTGCAGAAGGCCAAACTTCAGAGTTGTGGGGGATGGAGGGAGACGAGAGTGAGACTGCTCGAGGAACTTGTGCGATGAGTTAGGATGGTGGGACGGGAGAGATTGAGAGGATGTGAGTGAGCGAGACTTTTAGAGGGTCGAGATGTGTATCCTTTTGGGAGATCAACTCGTCCTGAGAATGATGGAGGAAGATGAGGAGTCAGAGGTAGTGTGGCTTTGGTGAGAGTTGGAGAGTCGAGGTTCCTGCGAAAGGATGGAAGTTTGATCGGAGAGCCGAGAGGACATGAGTTTGAAGATGAGGATTTTTCTTAGGATGACAAGAGGACCGAGATTTCGAAGTGATTGATAGTGGGATCGAGAATCGGGACACGAACGATTTTCTCGAGTGGAGAGAAGAGGATGACGATCTGTTCTGGATTCGTTTAGCTGGTGTGACGGTTCGTCCATGGAGTGGACTGAGAAAAAGCTTCTGCGAGGAGTGACGGGGATAGAGAGAGAGTTGATGGGTTGCTTGGAGGGTGAGGGACGCACCGAGAGTTTTATTGGACCGAGATGGAGAATGAGGGCTAGGAGAGTTGTGAGGATTGTGAGGTGGACGAGGTGAGGGGATATCACTTGGAGAATGTGTGGAGGATGTGAGGACGAGTGCTGGGGATCTGATGTTGATTGGATGGATGTCATTGATGACATAGTGGGACTGTGTGATAAGGATTGAGGATGGTCGGAGTAGAGTGTGATGATTATGAGTTTGTTCCAAGAGATGTCAAGGACAAGAGGAGAGAGCAGTGGAGTGAGACTGCCTGAAGATCGAAGATCTGCGTATTAATCGGTGAGGCGAGAGATGTAGCTTTGGATTGTCGGGAAGGAATTGTGATTGTTTGTGATTTGATTGGGACGTGAGACGATTTGTGGCTTAGAGATCGGTGACTTTGAGAGTGAAGAGAGTGGTCCAGAGTGAGAATCTTGCGAGAGGGGATTGATGTCGAGAGTGATAGATGTATGTGAGGAGAAGGAGGAGACGAAGAGAGCTATTCGAAGGTTGACCCATTGGTTTTCGGATGTGAGAAGTGGAGAGGACGAGAGGGGAGGTCAGTGTTAGGGATGGGGGAAGATGGATTTGAGAGAGGAGAATGGTCCGGGAAACGGAGAGATGGGACATGAATGCGTTGAACGGATGAGACTAGAGGGCATGCCCGATTGGAGGATGGAGGTTGTGAGAGATTCTGATAAGGAGAAGGTGTGACGATGTCTGAATCATTCAAGAAGAGCATTTGATG